CACACATTTTGGCAAGTCATGTCCATTAAAAAAAGCTCTCACCATATCAAAAACATCACCTCCAATGATATCCCAACATGATTGATAGAATTTCCCTATGAAACCATCTGGCCCTCCTGCACTGTCTCCATTTAAGCCAAAGACTGCTGTCTTGACCTCTTCTAGTGTTGGGTGTTTAATCAATTCTTCATTTTGTTCTGTGTCTATCAAAGATGGAACCTGATTGATAATGTCAAATGATGAGGGTATTGAAGATTCTGTGAATTGATCCTTAAAGAAATCTATTGCTTCTGCAGCTATCTCTTCATCTTCTTCTACCCAATCACTTAGGGTTTAGGGTTTAGGGTTTTTTTTTTTTTTAAGCAATCCACTAGGCATAGCCTAGGGCTAGTTTTATTAATAATCTAAAAAAAGGAAAAGTACCTCAGAGGAAGAGTACATGTAAGGGGGGCATGGACCTTACCTTACTAAACCTATTGAGGCAAAGAAAAAGCCTCATCTTCTAGCAAGCATGTAAAAAATAGGAACTTGAAAAAACCAAGTATTCTATGATCGCCATAGAGTTTATAACACACTCTACGACGCTATTACAAATGATGATGCTTTGAAAGTGATAAACTAAAAACATGTAAAAATTATAGTCTTGCCCCTCATTTACCAACCTTGTGAGTTCTTCAGTTTGGACTTCGTTAGGCACCTCTTTAATTATCTTCAAGTAATCTTCAAAATTCTTCATTTCTTCTCCGATCTATTGGACCTCGTGGATGTGGCAGGTGCAACCCCTCTTTGCTTTGCAGCTCTCATTGGAAGTTGTCTGAGTGTTACTCCCTGATTAGCCTCCTTCATTTTACTATGTTTAGGAGAGACATCACCAATTGTGGCTGTTACTTCATCTTCTTCTGCTTCCTTATAAATATCAAGACGTAAGTTGAGCTCTAGCCTTTGCTTATCTTCTTCTTGTAAAATCATCTGTAATGGTTCCTGCTTTTTTCCTCTCTTTGCACTACTTGACTCATGTCTCTTTGCTCTTACCTTTTGTGGAGTCGTTTTTGAGCCATTTGAATATGCGCACCTTTGAGGTTTTGGACTGCCCAAGTATCCAGTAGTGCACGATCTTGTCTGAAATCCACACCTTTGTAGCCATTGCACTTGAGCTTCCCGTAGTATCACCTGTTACAATTTGTTGTTGTTTGGAATGGACAATATCAGGATCACCTTCCTGCTCTTCAACTTGATCAGCCCAGGTTTTTACAATTGCACTAGTCACACCTTGTTGATCCTTAAATGCACTTAACTCATTTGTGGATGCTTGAGAAATTGAAATCTTAGCTGTTTGTGGTTGTTGATTATTTCCTGTTGACATTAGCTGCTGTCCAGAGTCCTCCTCATGCTCACCAAACGACTCCCCACTTTGTGAAGGAATTTCTTGAGCCGATGTATTCAAGGCAACAAAAGGTTGTTTGATCATGGGATTGCCATTCAACATCATGGCAAATTGAGTATCTTTGATGATTTTCTCCACTCGAGGGCTTGAGAATTGCAATGTAGGAACATAGGAATTGTGCGACTGATGTAGCAAAGTTGCTGACTGATGTTCAACTGTGTTGTCGACAACCACAAGCTGTCCTTTATTCATTTTTGAATCATGATCGATCTTAGCATTTGCTAAGTATGCAGCACTCGTCAGCCATCA